CATGTGTTGGACCTGTGCTTTTTAATGAAATCTTTAATTGTACCATGAATTTGAAAGAGGTGTAATATTCACATTTTACTGGTTACCTCCTTTTACAGTTCTCAAAGATAACATTGACGAAAGCTTTTACTAGCATATTTATAACATTGACGAAAGCTTTTAGTAGTATATTTATTAGTTAAAGATGCGAAACAGAAATAGTAAAAGAATTGTACACGGTAAACATGTTAAAGGCACCATCACAAATCCATTAATTTTGGGATCAAATAATTCCTTTAATGAATGACCTTTGGTGGAGTTCAGAGAGTTCTTTTTGCCCTGACAATATCCAAATGATCTCAGAAAGTTAATTATCCTAGATAAGATTGTAGTAATTAAGAAGGCTTTATAAACACCTGTTTACCTGGTAGTCCAAACAACTGGAAAGTTAAGAGCTCATTCATTGGTCTTGTGTCGGTTGATGACTGACTTTCACTGATTAATGAACAGCTTAAATTCTGTTATCTAGGCAGCTGGAGAGATGGATTATAAACCAAGCCGGATGGTTGTGGTGGCACGACAAGTGGAGGCTTTCATTAGGGAGTTCTTTGATCAGAATCCTTTGAGCCAAATTGGCTTGGTAACATTAAAAGATGGGGTGGCACAATGCTTGACTGATCTTGGTGGCAGTCCTGAGTCTCATATCAAAGCTTTGATGGGTAAGTTGGAGTGCTCGGGTGACTCTTCTCTCCAGAATGGGCTTGATCTTGTGCATGACCTTCTAAACCAAATCCCATCATATGGTCATCGCGAAGTTCTTATTTTGTATTCGGCTCTTAGTACTTGTGATCCAGGGGATATTATGGAAACCATCCAGAAATGCAAAAGTGCCAAGATAAGGTGCTCAATCATTGGTCTATCAGCTGAACTGTATATATGCAAATACCTATGTCAAGAAACTGGTGGATTGTACTCAGTTGCATTGGATGAGGTGAGTAATTATTTTGAAAAATCTGCCATTACATATTGAAGTACATCACCAAAATTGTTAAAACCTGCTGTCAGTGCAAATGATAAATTTGAAGCATAGAATGGAACAGGGAATAAAGCTCAAAACTTTATTTCTAATTCCTCTAATTGTAGTGATAGTCAAGGAAACTCATAGTTAAATCTGCTGAATGAGGAGCACGTCAAGTATGAAACTAGTCAATTATCTCCAAGACCTGGTTTAGCTGGCAGGGACATTAGCCAGGAGACAGTGAGACCCCTGGTTCAACTCTCATGCCCTCCGCTTTTCCCCCTTCCCCTTTGTAAGGGTTGGAGCCTTTTCTTGAACGAAAAACTAGTCATTGTCTAATACATAAATTCCTTTCTGTGCCAGCCACACTTGAAAGAGTTAGTATTGGAACATGCACCACCACCTCCGGCAATAGCTGAATTTGCAATTGCCAATCTAATCAAGATGGGTTTTCCCCAGAGGGCTGCAGAAGGTGTCATCTCAATCTGTTCATGTCATAAAGAGGCTAAGTTTGGTGGAGGCTACACTTGTCCAAGATGCAAAGCCCGTGTATGTGAGCTGCCTACTGAGTGTCGTATATGTGGGCTGACTCTTGTTTCATCTCCACATTTGGCAAGGTCATACCATCACTTATTTCCTATAACACCTTTTGATGATGTGTCGCCATCAATTACAAACATTCCACATAAGCTGCCAAAGAGTTGTTTTGGTTGCCAGCAAAGTCTACTAAATCCTGGTAAGAACTTAAACTTTGTTGATGCATTCTGTGAATGCACTACTGTTTTTCTTTCATGAGTTTTCCAGGTTGTCATGATGGCTTTTGTTGATATGAACTGTTTGAGCTTCACGTGATCTTCTAAACTGACTGTTTATGTACTTTAATTCCAGTTGGAAGATTAGAAGCCTGTATAGAACTAGTATTTATAACTACTCTCAAATTCCACTCATTTCCACACCAAAGCAAGAAGAAGTTAAGGAAAATACTGTGTTGAACAACTTTGGGAACTTTGACAACTTAAGTCGCATTATATGAAAGGAAGAATTTCGAACATTTTACTGTTGATTGATAGACATAACAACTCCCGCTTGGCTTTTCAACTTTAAACTAGGATTGAAGGTGTTGTAAAAACACTGAGAAGAGAATTTTGATCATGTGTTGTTCCATGTTTTTGGGTGCCTGGTCATTATGATTCTCTTCTTGGTGTCTGATGGATGGACATGGACTATGCCCAAGAATTGTAAGCTGAAGTTAGTGACCACTGACCTTAAGACTGTAATGGTTGTGAATTGGCTAAGCAGTCAGTAAGGCATGGCTTAGCATGGTCCATGCCCATGCCTTTTTTTTTTTTAGACTTATTTTTTATGGCTTGTGCTGCACTTGAGATAAACTCACAGCCACTGGTACTGCTTTACAATTTGCAAGCTTCTTTATGAGTTGTGAAGGTCATATAAATTGAAAGATCCTTTTTTGGCTCTCTCTTTAGCCCTATGTCTCTTATCCCTAGGAGGCCTTCCAGACAGAAGAAGATTATGTAAACACTTACTCAAAATCTCACTTATCAGATTCCATTGAAACTTAAGCATTTGTTTGCCGTGCAGGTAATCTGCCAGGGCCTTGGGTTGCTTGTCCCAAATGCAAACAACACTTCTGCCTTGATTGCGATATCTACATTCACGAGAGCTTGCACAATTGTCCTGGTTGTGAGAGCTTCAAGCAGTCTAATTCAGTCACCAACATGGAAGTATGATATTTGTTGATGTTGACCATCTCCATTTTTCCTTCCTTTACTTATTGGTGCACATCATTTAGTCACAGAAGTAGGAAGTTTTGGCTCCATTGACATATAACATCTTAAACATAGTTTACAGTGTAACAGTGTGTTATTTTGAAAGTAGTGTTAACGCACAGACAGAGTGGTTTAAAACCAATTTTTTTTTTTGAGAATTTTGATACTGAGAAAAGGTTGAATAATACTAGTTCGAGTTCAACCCTCAAAAATTTGACCAATTCCTACACATTGTTAAGAACCTTTTTGCATTTGTGCAGCCTCAATCAAGCATGTAACGTTCCAAGAAGTTAGAGCATGAAGAAAAAAAAATAACAAAATGACAAAATCTCTTAGTAGTATCAGTAATTGGTCGTGCAGGTGTAGAATAGTTGCCTCGAACTAAAATCCAGAATAATTACGAGAAAAGGTGATCAAACACTGGCTTTTTTTTTTTTTTTGGGCTTTATCCATCTCAACTAGCTTGGTGAGTGGATGCAAGTGAGCAACCTTGAAATTGAGATCATCATCATCATGAAGCATCCAATGACCCGTTTGCAATTCCTCTCTCATGGAAATTGGAAGGCTTTGTTCACCATGCAGGTGGCTAAAAGCTCAGTCCTTCTCCAACCAACCAAGGTTCTCTAATTATGAAAGATAAATAAAGATATTGGGACAATATTTACAAAAAAAAAAAAAGAAAAGATATAGAGACAAGAAGTTCAATTCAAGTGATGATATAGGCCATCTTGCTTTTAGTTCTTTTGCAAAGGAATATTATAAACATGTTACAACATGCACACAACGATGTTTAATAAGTAACTAGAGTCTTGTATTACACACTAATATGTAACACCTATAATAGACATCATGTCCTTCTCAAAAGTTCAACTTAATTAAAATTATAAAGATGACAGATATCGACATATTAGAGTGTGTAACATAGATATTATACCTTGTTGTGTCATATTAGAGTGTGTAACATAGATATTATACCTTGTTGTGTAATAGAAAGATTTGTTGCTCTAACGGATGATGAAAAGATCTAACGTTCTAACACAAATAACAGCATTGGATCAACGGGTGATTGTAAACGGGTAATCATACCGTTTGGACCAGGCAATGTATAGAATTAGAAACGGCACTATATTGCTTCTTGAGAGCGGCCGTTGAGAAATGGTAGCTTTAAAGTTGCCACTTCAAACGGTCATGTAGAAATTGCTCCTTAATTGACATGGTAATTTTAAAGTCCTTATAACTACTAGCAACTTTTTTATTAAAAAAAAAATTCACCAAACTTATTTTTCTTCATGTCATTTTTAAAATTTTTTTTTCTAATAGCGGAGGAAGTGGGTGATTAAAATTTTAAACTCTAATTTCTGAAATCTCATTTTTCTTCATGTTATATTCCATTGTTATGTCGGATTTTCTTCTATCATTTTTTTACTTAAATGCCTTCCGTGATATAGTTAAATTTTTATTCCTTCATATTCTTAGACCCTGTTTGATAACCTAATTTAGCACTTAAACTCAATGGATGCAGATCTTAACATATTAAAATCATTTGATAATCAAAACTTAAACATCTAAATTAATTAAATAGCACTGAATTTTCTAAGCAAAATTTGCTCCCAAAATTAAGTGATTAGCTAGTCACTTATAACTGAATGTGATATACACTTAAATGTATCAGATTTAATACTTAACAATTCAATAACTTAATGGATTCAAACTTCAAATTTCATATTTCAGTTTTATTAAACACACCCTTAGTCTCTTTGCTTGGCTTTTATTGGTTTGCAATGGCATGATACATGCAAACATGCAAAGAGAGATAGTATTCCCTGAAATATTATCTTACTTATATCATAAATACAATTTCTAATCACTTTTTTTTTTATCATACATCACATCATAAAAAGTGCTATAATATTATTTTAAATATTTTTTTTCCAAATAATCTTATATTCAAACACACTTATCTAAGTCACTACTGATTGAAGTAGTGAGTATTAAGTCACCATTTTAGATACCAAAGTCTTTGTATTTTGGATACTGCAATATGTTGAATTAGTTAGTATATGATAATGAATAGTAACAAATTATGTTCATTAATTTATCAAACCAGGTCATTTTCAAATAAACTTCATTAAACCACGTCGTTTTGCTAATTTTTCACAGAACACAACGACGGCGTTTTTGTTGAAATCGACTTCTACGGTTCTCCACCTGCCTAGTACAGAAGTACAATTATCAACTTCAAGGCTGCAACTCAAATCTCAGAAGCTCCAATTATCTGCATACTATAATATTTCAGGTAAAGAATCTTGTCTCGTTGGTTTCTCTAGCTACTAAATTTTCTATGCATTTGATGAAAAGAAGTATTTCAATTACATGCACAAGAATGTACACTCAATTAAAGGGCCAATTATTCCTAGTTTTCTAATAGCTTCTGTGTGAGTTTGTACTTCTTATGCAATGTTCAAATGCTATGTGGCAATTATAATATCTGGGATTTCTTCCTTTTGTTGGAATTTTTGTTGCTTTACTTGTTACTGGTTAGGTGTGGATGATGCTGATTGGTTTTTTTTTTCCCAAGAATTGTTTGCTGATGAGGAGAACTTTAACATCAGTGACATCAGTGCCTGTGTAATGAAGAAGTTGAATGTCGATGAAAAAAAGATCCATTTTAGTTTTAAGCCTCAGAATTGCACAATCTGTGCTTGAGCTGCTGAAAATTTATATATTCTAAGAAATTTGAAAGAAAAAAGAAAAAAAAAAAAGAAGAATTACAGATGGCTGATCCTCCTCCAGAAAAGAAGGTTCGTGGAGAGAGGTCTGATGAGGATAATATTGATAGGTTGAGTGCACTTCCGGACTGTGTTCTGCTCCACATCCTTTCAAGTTTTAAGACAAAAGATGCTGCGGCCACCTCAATTCTGTCTAGGAGATGGAGAAATCTTTTCATTTCACTTCCTGATATTCATCTCAGTATTTGTATGGATAATGATGCTTCTGACCGTGATAGACTGTTCTCTGATTTTATAGATTTCTCCAATAGAGTGTTTCGACAGCGAAATAATGCTCCCATTAGAAAAATCCGACTCTTTGTGAAGCATTTTGTTGAAAGGTACTGTTTGGCCTTTGAGTCATGGTTGCTATCTGCTGCAGCTGCAATTTCTTTGTCTAGCATCCAAGAACTTGAGATTTCGGTGCTAATTAATGAAACAACCATGCCATTTCTAATATCTATTCCACCTGAATTTCTCTCATGTAAAACACTAGTTTCTCTATCACTAAACCTTGGGGCGGATTGGATTGTTCCTGATTCAGTGTCGCTGCCAACTCTCAAGTTCCTTAACTTGTCGGAATTCAAACTGGTAGATGAAGATTGCTTTGTGAGGTTTCTTCGGGGTTGTCCTTTGCTTGAAGAATTGATGTTGCATTTGCGGCCTTTCTATGATGAGAGGGAGAGTGGAGAAGGTATTGAGGTTGAAGTTCTTGATATTTCAAATCCTTCGTTGAAAAAACTGATACTCTGCTGGCATGAGAAAGTTGAACTCGAGTTCACAATCATCGTAAAGTCAAACAATCTTGAATATTTGCTCTGCTTCCTTGAGGGACAGCATAAAGTTACTATAGATGCTCCAAAAATTACATCTTTGGACATTGTCGGTCGGGTACTTGAAGTAAACATCATTCAAGACCTGATGTCTCTAGATACTGCAGGAGTGCAATCTGATTTTCTTTATTATATAACAACTGAAAGCGACTTATTTTTACGTGGTTGGCATGCTTTTAAGTTTATGAGTGGGTTGCAAAATTTGAAATCACTTAGTTTGTCAGAGAAGATTCTCAAGGTATGTCCTCTGTCTTCTTTTTCTTAAATTTGGCTTCATTTCAGGGCTTTCCATTTGAATCTTTATAGAAAAATTAGAAGTTTCTTCTTACTCAGTTCTTCTCCTTGTATGCATGAAGGCTCTCTATTTTTCTCAACGGGGATTGCCAACTTTCAAAAACTTGATTAAGTTGGAGCTTATACCTTTTTATTGCCATGACTTTCCTCGCATGTGTATCTGGAAAGTGTTATCAAGCTTATTTGAAAGTTCCCCTAATCTTGAAGTGCTTATCTTCCAGGAAGTAAGTTATCGTGGACATTAATACTGTAACAGTTAATTGCATTAAATTTTGCAGTCACTTATTTACTTCATATGCACAGGTCTTTAAGAACTACTTTGGTGAAGACGAGGAACTTGATTCTGTTTTCCCAGAGGCTCTTCCACTGACTTTCATTGAACATCTTAAGGAAATAGAATTCAAAAATTTTGATGGGGAGGAACATGAATTCAAGCTGGTAGAGTATTTTTTGAAGAACGCAAAAACTTTAAAGAGGATGACTATAGCTAAAGAGCCTTGGAACTCTGTACCGGAATGTCGTGATAGGATATTGTCATTCAAGAAGTGCTCAGAGGATTGCCAGGTTGTGTTCAAAAAGAAAATGGATTGGATAAAGTGCCCACAATTACGAAAGGCGCTGAATCTCTCTGTGTAGCCGTATTTTCTTGGATATAATCTTCTTCTTTCCTCACTATTTGACTACCTATCTCTTGTGCTTGAACTTGTTTATTATGATATTAAATCTGATGCTGTTATGATGCACTGATAAGCACATCATTTAGTTGCAGGGAAGTTCTGGCTTAATGTATATAAAATCTTGCAGCAATATGTAGTGTAACTGGATTGTGATTTCAAGGTAGTATTAATGCACCGGGGAAAAGAATAACAGCTGGGGAGATTTATGGTCTCAATTAGAATTTTGAGTTTGGGGAGTTTTGTTAGTCTATTAGTCTTTTTTCACGATTTTTTATGATCCCTGGCTATGAAAATGTTAGCAACTTTACAAGAAAATGCCCCTAATCTTGAATTGCTAATCTTTCTTTCATCAAGTAAGTTACAACGAGTTTTTAACATCATGGAGTTGATTCCAGATTCTGCTGTCCCTAAACTCTAATCTAAAGATGATTGAACTCGTGCTTAGCATCATATCTGAATGCAATTGCTGGTGCTTTTTTGTTGAACCGAGTAGTGGATCATTTAATCGTAAGTAGAAGTTTTGGTTCTGGGATATGATAGTTAGGAGCAAAAATTGATATGGTCATGTGATCAAAGATAGCACTAAAGCACCAGGCAAAAGAAAGAATCATGGCTAAGACATGAACGATCATTTTGCCTGCACTTTGAAATGTTTTACTGTGTGAAAATATGTATTTCGTCCTCTTACTCTGCCGTCCTCAATTTGAAGCTTGTTCTTTCAATTATTGGGTAAATGAACTTTTATGATTATAAGCATTGAGTTGTTTTAGATCTTCTTCTCATCTGTATGAAGGCCATTTATGCAAGATATTCCCAAGCTTACTTCATGCTGCTACTAATCTTGGAAGTGCTTATCTTTCATTTGGTGAGTATGATTATCTGTTTTGGTGTAGAATCAATTTTAGTACGTTTTCTAGTGCCTAAGGCAATTAGGAGCAGCTGCAAGAGGGACCTGGGAGTTTTTGAGTTTATTCTGCCAATGGCTATATCGATAGAGCTTTAGTAAACATCATAGGGAGATGGAAATGACCAAATCTAGAGAAGGGAACATGAACTTATGCTAGTAAAGCCTTTTAAATCTCCATAAGCATGTGGTATCACCATTCAAGAAAAGCTCTTAGGATCACCAATAGTGTTCAATAGGCAGAAAAGATAGGATTCAACCAGCATTTGTTTCTTATTCTGTTGCAACTGGTCTGACTTGTATGGTGGAATGGCTTGACAACATTCTTAAGAGGTTTATATTGTTGGACCACTTATGTTGAATTTTCTTAGTGAAGATCGGATTGAAAAGGTGCAAATTCAGACCCCTGAAATGTTGGGATAGCCAAAATCAGAATTTGATGTAATATTGCTAGTTATGGAAAACAAATCAGGCAAAGGAGGACCAAATATACCATAGCTTTCCAAAATAAGGGTCGTTTATGGAAATAGTCCTATTTGTATCAACACCCAATTAAGAAGAACTCAAGAGATTTTAAAGAATACCTAGTCCACAGGCTATTGAGTATCAGTGAAGGACTAGATTCTACCTGTCGAATGGAAAGACTGTAAAGTTAAATGCAGTTCTTGGTGCAAAGGACAAGCCTTGACAAGGCTAGATAGAAACGGACTGGTCATCCAGTGGTGACCACTCAAGCAAGTGCAGCACCTTAAGATTAGGCAAATAAATTGAATAAACTGAATCTTGATGACGCTGTAACACAACTCAAACACGATTATAATTAAGAAGTATAAATACAATTCAAACTTAAACGAGTGATTGTTGAATCAACCTGTTAGCATTAGCGACAAGAATATAAACAAGTTTGATTGGATCAACTTGTAGATTGACATACTAACCGAATAAAATAGCTTTTCTTTATAATAATAAAAAACAGCTTTTTTTAATAATATAAACGGATTTGATTGGATCAATTAAACGAGTGATTGTTGAATCAACCTGCATGATGATTTTCTGTACTAACAAAGGAAAATAGAATAAACTAACCCAATTTGGTCCCAAAAAACTAGGGCATTGAACCAGTTTCGATTGGGTTGGGTAATGGTTTGGCTTGCCCAATTATAAGATTGGGTTGTGATTCACTATTTTTTTTCGAGCCATAGGTACTCGACTTGGTTCATGTGTAAGGATATAATAGACTTTTCATCCCTAGGGCTAACACTAATGGATTCCATTTCTATTTGGTTGGATCAATTTGCTGATTGACTCACTAACCTGATAAAGTAGCTTTTTTCTTATAGTAGCTAAACATTACAAACCCCATTTTGAGTAATTAACAACAATTAAAAATGATCAAATTTGGCTTGAATATTTCAATTAGAAATTTTAAAGATGTGTAAGTTTCATATCTAATCGTATATGGAATTGTTAGACTGTGTTTCTGTAAAATACATAAGATTTGTAATTTATGTCATGCTTGAAAAGCTTCGTTATGTATTATACTTTCGAAGATTTTGAAAACTCTAAATTTTGTGTTTTACTATGTATTGCACTATTAAACTTTTTTTAACGAAAACTTTTAATTTTTGAATATTTGGACTTTGTTTTATGATTTGTAGGCTTTGTTCTGTATTTTACAACATCAACATTGAATAGATACATGATTAAATGGCTTAAAATATGCAATTAAGATGTTAGAGTTTTTCTAGCATAGGTAAATAGGGTAATCTTATAAAACATTGAGTCATATTAGAACGATTTTAATCGTGTAAGACGTTTAATTGGTTATGCAGGTTGGATTGGTGAAACTGATAAATTTGCCCCTACATTGTATACAGAATTGAAGATGAACTTCAGGAAGCCAAATAAAATGGCCTCTCCACCTGGTGAACAGGCTGAAGTTCTTGCAGCATTTTGTGTAGTAAAGGAACGACAGAATGTGAAGAAGAGTATCATCAGGAAGGGGACTCAACCTATCAGTACAATAATCTGAAGGATGATGATGATGATGATGATGATGCTGATGATCAGTCATTGTTAATCAGTTTGATTGCTGCTTCCTAATCCAAGAAAATGGTTTTTTGACCAAATAATTTCGAAATCGTTCAAGAGATTAGAATTATCAAGGCTGAACCAAGAATCAGTTTTTGTTTATAAGTATTACAGAACATAAAAGTATAAACAACTGAAGAGGAAGGCCAAAAATAGAGAGGGCAGAAACAGAAGAGAACCTGTGCTAAAGAATCAATCCTGAGTTGCAGTTCTCTGAGGGATCAATGCAGGAAATTAACCCACTTAAGTTAACAAATAAAGCTACAAAAAAAGGAAATTGGTCGTGAACAGGATAGCAAGCAAGAAAGACAAAATAAACTATGAAGAAGAGAAAAGAAGGAACAGAACTGAGTCATAGGCCCTTTAAATAGACCAAGCAAACTCCTAATTTCTAGACGGAATAAAACTACCAAACTGACCAGTCAGAACCATCATACCCAAATCCTATTGTGGCTTAAGTACCAAAACGCAAAGGGACTCAATGACTAACAATTAAACACAAATGCATTCAGAAAGAAGAGTACAGACTTGCAAAGAAATATCTGTAAAAATATAATTGTAAAGAACTCAGTAACTTTTTGAGCCGAGACAATAATCTTACTGAGCTATTCTTTCCCCGGGAGTTTCAATGCCATCTTCCAATATATTATCATTCAAAATATGATCATTCAGATATTTTTCTTCTAATGTCATACCAATGCTAAATCAAAAAGGAAAGAAAAAACGATAGGTGCAAATATCTTTCTCCTGTACACTAGAAAAAAAAAATCAAATTCTGCAATTGAATGATCAACTTCAGAAAGAATCAATTCATCCCAATAGCTTCAACAATGGCGTCAAAACATATGATTAGAAATTTAGATACAAAACTAACAAGAGATGATCACCCTATCATATAGGCAATCGTCAAATCCTGTTTGAATTGAGTTCTTTGAACAAAATTTGGCAATCCTCAGAGCATTTCCAGAATGACAGTATCCTTCTGCAGGATTCTGATGAAGGTTTCATAACTCCGCAAAGAGTCATCTTCGTTAAAGAAATCCCGTTCTTCAAAAAGTACCCTACTACCTCGAATTCGTGTTCCTCGCCGTTGAATTTTTTGATTTCCATCTCCTTAAGATGGTGAACGGAGCATATTGGAATTGCGTCTGGCAGAATACACTCAAATTTCTCAGATGCACTAAAGCTGTTCCTAAACACCTGTGCCAATTGGAAGAAAGTTACAGACTACAAAATCTAATGTAACTAGTTCAACAAGAGAAAAGCTCGCAAACAACTCACTTGATCAAAGATCAGAACTTCAAGATTAGGGGCGTTTTTCAGTAAGCTAGGTAACACTTTCCATAAACAGGTATGATCATAATTCGTAAGAAACAAATCATTGGAAGGATCAAGAGACAGAGTAGTCAAATTTTTGAAAGTCGGCAGCAACTCACGACAAAGGTAGAGAGCCTTCAAGCAAATCAGAAAAAGTAAGTGAATACACATGAAGTTCCATATTGTTACAACTCAAAGGAAAAGCTCCAGAACGAGAAACCAATAGTAGAATGAGATGTAAACTTACCTGCAGACTAGAATGATATAGATAGAGTGACTTCACACTTTCCAGTCCTTTAACAAAAGCATGCAAATCATTCAATGAGAAGCCTCTTTCAGTTGGATAACTGGAGCAGTGAACTCTGATTTTGGCTTCAACAAGAGACTTCAAGTTTTGAATCAAGTTTATACTGTCAAGACTACTGTAGATCAAATACTTAACATTTGGGGCATCTAGACTAATTTGTTGCGTTTGCCGGGCACGATATTCCAAATACTCAAGATTCTTTGCCTCAATAATATAAGAACACCCAGCCAAGCGACCACAGAGTATCAGTTTCTTCAGTGAAGGACTAGATAAATTGACTGCTCTACTTAAAAGCCTTTTACTCAAATTGTGTGATTCTATACCTAACTCCAGTTCTTCAAGCAAAGGACAGGCGTTGATAAGCCTAGTAATGGACTGAGCATCTACTGGTGCCAATTCAAGCAAGTGCAGTGCCTTAAGATTTGGTAAATAAACTGAATCTGGCAGAACCAAATCCACTTCACCACCGATTACTTTCAAAGTAACTAACGTTTTGCAAGAGAATAATCCAGCACGAGCTAATTTCCAATTTTTATCACTATAAATAAATATACCAATTTCTAGGAGTGTACACGAAAGTGCAGCAAATATCAACGAATCAATTGTCACGCTATTACCTGGGATAACGGACGCCAAAAAGAGTTTCAATTTTCTTATAGGAGCCCCTTTTCGTAGCATAATCACTCGATTGGCAAAATTGATAAATTTTATGGACTTACAGAGCAACATGTCACGCTTATTTAGGGCATGACAGCACAATGTGCGACGCTTATCCATGAAATTACACGTGTATGCTTCAGAGAAAGTAAGATCAACATCAGGAAGCCAAATAAAAAGGTCTCTCCACCTGGTGGACAGAACTGACGTTCTTGCAGCATCTTTCGTGCAGAAAAATGACAGGATATGAAGAAGAATTTCATCAGGAAGGGCACTCAATCTGTCATCTGGGGTGGTTTTTCTTCTAAAAGCCCTTTTGGGTTCCGAAGGATGATCGTAATCATGATCAGTCATCGTTAATCAACTTGATTACTATTTTCCCAACCCAAGAAGATGGTTAGTTTTTTTCACTAATAACTCGGAAAGGGTTCAAGGAATTACAATTAGAGAGCCTGCACCAAAAACTAACAAAACAAAACGACTGAAGGGCAGAAGCATAACAGAACCTGCGTTGCAGGAAACCTTTTCCAAAAACTCACAAAACAAAATCAATGTGTCGGAGAGAATATTAGGAAATCAACAAATAAAGCCACAGAAGCAAAATGAGCAGGGGAGCAAGATCATAATCTGCAATGGCTCAAATAAAAGAGAAAAAGAAACGAAGGCAGAACGAAAACAAAACACTATCCCAAAACGAAAAAGGGCAAAAAAACCATTAGAAAACTAACTACAATCAGGGTTTTGCTTATATTTGCCTAGATATTCTGTGATAATCATCAACATTTCTCAAGCTTGCTTCCCTTTCCATACTGGAATGTGGGAACCTAGGTTTTTCTTCTTTTTCTTCTTTTCCTCCCGTTCACTTTTGACAGAAGGGTGAGTCTAGGGCCCAAATATATCTCCAATAAAAACCCCGAGCCTTGCATTACCGAAGGCACCGTTTGGATTGAGGGAATGGGAGGAAAAGGAAAGGAGAGGAATTGGAGGGGCTTAGTTTTTATTGTTTGAATTGACTTTTGAGAACGGAAAGTAAATGATAGGGAGGGATTTAGTTATTTTGTTGAATTATGATTTTCACCTAAAATTGGGCGAAAATAGAGGGAAATTAAACTAGATTAATTGAAATAATTTGAATTTTTTTAAAGGATCATTTTTCTCTATTTTTTTTGTAAGTTAAGATTTGATCTTTTCCTTTCCTTTCTTTTCCTTCATCAATCTAAACAAAAATTCAGTATTTCCTTTCTTTTCCTTACATAATCCATACAAAATGGATGGAAATCACTTTCTGCTACTTTTTTTTTATTATTATTGGTATCATTTCCTTTCTTTTCCATTCATTTCCTTCGATCCAAACAATGCCTAAATCAAAATGTGGATTCAGCCCACTACTGAGAATGCAAAAAAAAAAAAAAAAAAATGTTGTAGTCTCATCATGTGTATATGGTATGCATACAAGTGTAATTGTACTTAAATTAATATTTAATTTTTTAAAAAAAATCCTAGTGGGGAAGGATTAGATTTAAGAAATAGGAAGGGATAAGAAAATTTGAACCTTTGTTTTATTGGCTGAACGGAATTGTCTTTACTACCTAACATCAATTTAGATATTGATAAAGGAAAAAAAAAAAAGAAAAAAGAAAAAGCATTTGTTTGGATGATTACATTTCCCTGAATTCTTTAATTCTTCAATTCGATTCCTTTAATTGCATTTTAGATGATTTCATTTGCTTTTTCAAAAGGATTTTTTGCTCTTAATAGGTCCATCCAAGCAATATAAAAAGCCAATATGTGCGTGTTATATGTATGAAAGCATGTTAGTGTATGTTTTAGTGTGTTTATATGTGTGAAAATGATGTATTTCTATCCAAGAAACTTAAGAAAGTGAGTATTTGTTTGTATGTATGGAAGTAATTTAGTGTGTCAAAATATGTTTATGTACATGAAAATGTGTTCATATGTGTTAAAAAAAACATTTTGTGTGTGTAAATATGTGTGAAAGAGTACTATGTATCAAAACGTATAAAATGCCATGTAAAGTCATATTTAGGTCATGAGTTTGAATTGATCCAATATAACCTAATACAATATCAACTGATATCCTAAGGTTGCTGCCAAAGGGTTGAGTTCTAGAATGAATCATCCATGCGTAGAGCTTGACAATGTGGTATGTTGTAAGATTCTTTAGGAAGCAAAAAGCAAATTTAGCAACCATCGTACAGAAACAGTCGTAAGAGTTTACATAATCGCAACAAGCCAGGAGTACCCTTTTGGTCCTAGTACTAATCACATCCCTATAACTATCTAGCATTTCCAGAGCAAAACACAGAGGACTACAGTAGATAGGACAGCTAGCTGCAAAAGGCCTCGTAACAGTCCACTGATAAGAGTATAAAATCTGTCGAAATTTCGCCTTCTTGATGGTAAGAACACATCTGAACTTCCTGAAAATACTCCAGCAGTTTCAACAGTCCTGAACTCGTACTTTCTGCGTCTGCAGGTGTTCTGGTTCCAGCATAGATCTTCAACAAGGGTCCATACTAACCAGCAAGATGACTAAATTGTTGAATGGTTTGCATTGGTTCCATGCAATATCTTGTGATTTCCGTCTCCTGTCAAACAGCTTGTAATAGTTCTGCAATTACAGTAAACTTTTTGAATAAAAATGTTCCAATTTTCAGAAAGAAGACTGCAAATTACTTGCAAAGAAACCGTATACAACTAAACCAAACAAATATGTCTAGAGATATAAGATTTAAACGTTAAAACTTCCTAATTAACTTTTGAAACTGAAAAAATAATAAGTTTTCCAAGCTAATCTTTCCTCTGGAGCTTTGATGCTACCTTTCAATATATGATCATTTCATACCTTTTACTCCTTAATGCTATCTCTCAACATAAGATTATTCAAGTATTATTTTCTAATGCTACACCCATGCTCTTCTTGGAAACACAACACCCTTGAATCTGCTTAGGCCATTAAGCTAGATACCTTCTGGGTAGAAAATTGATATGTAGGATTTTGACCTTTAAACATTGTAGGGGTGCTTTATTAACATTTTTTAACATGTCAATTTACAAATGTAATGTGACCAGAATATTATCATTCACATGCGGGTTTTGAAATTTGTCAATATTATTCTAGTTCTGCTATTAATTGTTGTACCAGTTTAAGATCCACTTCAAAAGACCAAAAGACAGCACCACAAAAACCAATTTTTTTAGAAGCGCATATGCACATCAAATGAACCATCAATCTGGACTTCACCAAGAAAAACCGACATAAATGGGTCATCAAGAAGCATATCAAGGATAATACACCTCTTATCAATGATATCAAGTGTGCCACTCCAGCATATCATTCAGGCTAAATGCAACAGACCAAGAACCACCCTATTCCCACCAAAACAAATAAATAAATAAATGAAACATAAAAAGAAAAAAAGGACCATCAAGCTCAAATTGGTTTAAGTAATGATTCAATCCAGATGTTTCTTACTATCCAATGCTTTTCCGCAATTCTCAGGGCTTTTCTTTAAGGACAATATCCTGTTGTAACATTTCTCATGAAGACTTGAAGGGCTCTAAACTCCACCAAAAGTTATGTTTTAATGAGAATGTTAATTTTCCAAACATGATCTACCAGCTTGGAATCATAGTTGTCAAAGTTTTTGATTTCCAACTCCATATGACTTTTAGTGAACCCTACTGTAATAGCCTTTGACAAAATATACATAAAACTCCTTGGTACCTCTAAAGTCGTGCAATAGGCTATCATATCCTCAAAACCAAAACTTATAGTTGTGCAATTGAATTATCTATTAATCACTTCTACTGAAAACCATTAACAAATGCATTCAAAGAAGTGCTAATGATGAGTTCGACCATCTTTAACATCTATTCAAGCTCATAATTACTTGCATAACATAAGATGAACACTTCAAGATTCAGGGCATTTTCTGGTAAGCTTTGCTGCATAATGACTGACTTAGTAGAACTGCCAAAACAAAGGTTCTACTGAAAACTGTAAATCTCCCCAGCTATTATTATTTCCTGGGTGCATTTATACCAACTTTTGGCATATGATCCTATTATCCAATATCCTATTTTATGAAGCCAAAACTTCCTATTCTGCAACCAATTGGTATGCTTACCAGTCACAATAGAGCATCAACAGTGGCATCAGATATGATTTTTAGTACAAGTTCAAGCACCATCTTTACTTACTCAAGAAATTGTTGAAGATTTAATCAAGTCTTCACCCAAAAAATAAGAAACAGGTGGTCATAAAGCAAAAAATAACTAATTAGACAAATAAAACAAGAACAGAAGGAAAATCCAAGAAAATACTATTTAAAAGGGAGAGTTTCAGTGCCTTTTGTGGTCATGAGCGAAAAAACCAGTTCCATGGCGCTTTTGACACAATCTGGCAATCGTCTGAGCACTTTTTGAATGACAATATCCTGTCTAGACCTTTTGATAAAGACACACCAGCATGACCAAAGAGAGTCATCTTCTTTAAAGATTTCCCACTCTCCAAAAAAAATTCTACCAGCTTCAATTCATGTTCCTCCCCTTTAAAATTTCCGATTTCTATTTCCTTAAGGCATTCAACCAACACTAGTGGAAGAGCCTCATGGAAGACAGAATTAAGTTCTTCATCTTTGCTAAAGTAGTTCTTGGACACCTGTGCATTTGATGTACATAAGGGACTGCATAATACAACTGAAATAAGCCTGCAATACAAGTGTCCATTGTAACTTACTTCACTGAAGATAAGCACTTCAAGGTTCGGAGAACTTTCAAATAAGCTTGATAATATGCTAGACATGCATTCGCGAGGAAAAGCAGGGCAATCAAAAGGATCAAGCTGTAATTTGATCAAGTTTCTGAATGTTGGCAAAACCCTTTGAGAAAAATAGAGAGCCTTCATAGAGAAGAATTTAGTAAGAATAAACGTTCAATTCTACAACTATAATTTGAAGGATAAGCTCTGAAATGAAGCCAGATGAGAAGTATGAAAATAAAAAATAAAATAAAATAAAACTTACGATAAGGAAGCTCTCTGAGAAAGAAATTGATTTCACATTTTGCAATCCTCTAAAAAACTTAAAAGCACGCTCACTGCATGAAATTATGGCGCTTCTAGTTCTCATATGACACAGAAAATCAATTTCCAGTAATGCATTGTCAAGAGAAATCAAGTTTTGAATGATATCGACTTCAAGTAAATCGCCATCAAGTTTCAAAGACCTGAGATTTGGGGCATCTATAGCAACTTTATGCTGTCCATCAAGTAAGAAACTCAAGTGTTCAAGACTGTTGGACTCAACAACAGTAGTAAACTCAGATTCAACTCCCTGGAAACAGAGGATCACTCTCTTTAACACAGGACTTGAGATTTTAAAAAAATTGACTTCAATATGTTCGTCAGCGTCACGCTCATGGTTGAAAGGTCGCATAGATAACTCCAACTGTTCAAGCAAAGGACAACCCTGAAGAAACTTCCCAATACAAGCTTCATCTACCAATTTGAACATGTCCAAGCCAAGTACCTTGAGATTAGGCAAGCACACCAAATCCGGAACCGTCCAATACACCCCAAGTTTTAGTGATAAAGAAACTAGTGTTTTACAGGTAAAAATTTCAGGCGGAACAGATATTGAAAGTGGCTTAGTTGTTCTATCAATCACGATTAAAATCTCAAGTTCTTGGATAATCGACAAAGAAAATGCAGCAGCAACAGATATCAACAGCCACTCAAAGAGCATCCGGTGCCTTTCCGAAAAATGGCTCAGAACGAGTCGAATTCTTCTAATTGGAGCTTCATTTCGCTGTCGGATCACCCTGTTTGTGAAATTTATAAAATCTGAGTACAGTCTATCACGGTCAGAAACATCCTCGTCCGCAAAGAAATATAGATTAATTTCAGGAAGCAAAACGAAAAGGTTTCTCCATCTTTTGGACAATACTGAGGTGGCTGCAGCACTTTCTGTGCAGAAACAGAAACGTGAGAGGATATAGAGCAGTACACAGTCCGGAAGTGCACTCAACCTATCAACGTTACCATCATCTTCTTGAGTGGCCTTAAGCACCTTCTTGTCTGGAGGATCAGCCATCTGGGCGTTTATCTTTTCTTTCTTTTTTCTTTCCCCTTTTTCAAGTTTCTCAGAGATTATGAAACTGTGAGGCTTAAAACCAGAAGGGATCTTTTCTTTTATTCAGAGAAGACACGTACCAAAATTATCCAGTCTATAAATGCACAATTTTGCAGAAAGATACCAAAGCAATCCTAACGAAAATTGACACCAAAAAGATCAAGAAAAACCTGGTTTTCTGCTGGGTTTTCTCAAACACCGTCCTTACAATCTAGCTTCTGTAAGCATCAACTGAGTTGTGATGTTCTTCTCCATGAAGATTAGAAATTTAGAAATGCTGTTGCTTCCAAATACCTGCAGGGCTGAAGCTTTTCCACCCCATTAAAAGGCCTGCACTTGTCCCAAGGTTTCTTGCATTTGCAGTGTTCAAGCCTTAAGGGTTCGTTTGGGAGTTCGGTTTTGGGCAAATCATTCCAAATACCCTTTTATCATTCCCAATATGGGAGAAATTAATTGGAGAAACAGAAAGTAGCAACATGTCGAGTACAAGCTACAAGGGCTAACCCAATACCCAATACCGAATGCCCAAATGGTTACTTTTCTTTAAATTCCCAATTTTTCAAATCTAAAACTGCCTATTCTTACCTTCCTTTCCCGTACCCCATTGCCCAATTTGGAGCGTAGGGAATAATCCTAGTGAGAAAATATTTAGGTCCCGTTGCGGGCTAAACCCCAAAATAGTCCCTAAATTATGTATCAGAAGTTGATATAGTTTTTAAATTTTAATTGTGACCAATTTTAGTCCCTCAATTATATATGTCAAGTCAATGTAGTTTGTTTTTGGATTGAGCCACGGATCTCACAAAAAAATTGTAGGTGGATCGAGGGGTAAAAAAGGAAACCCATATACCAACCCTCATTAAAAATCAATTTGAAAAAATTTTTGGTGGGACAAAATTTTTTTTTTTAAGTTTTGACAAAGTTTGGTCCGTATTACAAGCATTCCAAGATAACAATCCAACACACAATGTCTCTAAATTAAAATATTTAACAACAATTATGAAAAATAATTGCATCAAGCACCAAATTTGGTACATAATTCATTCAACAATAAAATAATTGATAAAACATAAAATCTAGTTACCTAAATACAAATTTATATGCCATCAAAATAAAGTTTACATTCAATTTCAATCAAAAGCCACAAAAAATATGCATAACTATGAGGAGTTATAAGGCCACAAATATATGTCAAAAGTTTACAATTACAATAAGTTTCTTGTCAAAACTAAATGTCCCCATAGGGTCAGTTTGGTACAGTGTAAAAGGTTTTCTTTAGGAAAATTATTTGCTCCGATCCTAATTTTCTAGTGTTTGGTAAGCTATGGAAGAAGAATTCTCGACAAGAAAACAAAAACCCATATGGAACCAATATTATAATGATCTAAAACAAAAATCTTACAGTGGTTTGGTCAATAAACATGAGATCAAAACGAGATGAAAGGAATTTTGTTGCTTGAAGGCCAACCCTCCTTTGATGCGTAATTCAATTGATACAAAAAAAAAAACTTAAAAAAAAAAAAGCTGACTTCCAACTCGTAACTCTACAGTTGAAAGTGAAGATAGCCTAGATATGTATTATCAGAAAAAGATTGTTGGCGATTAGAGAGTTGATAGGCAATCAACAAAATAGTCAGCATCATGTTATAGTGGTTTTTTATATGGTGTTTTCTTAGCCAATGATTAGCGGGTAACTGGTAGGTTAGATTTTCCTCCTTTGCTATGTCAAGAGTGAAGAATTAAGCAGGAAACCATGAAGTTTTGATGCTTGTTAAAAGGAAGAGAGGTAGATGCGTGTTTAAAGGAAATTAACTTCCGTAATTTCTCAAGATAAGTTGTTTTCAGTCCACTACCTTAAAACATTTTCGGTGAGAAAACTTCTTCCTACATCTTAAACAAACCAAATAACTGAAATTAGGGAACCCTTAAACTTCAACTTTTTAAGCAACCTCTGTGGAAGCTGGATTAGAGTCCATTTAATCACTTTCCACAAATCCTCCACATTTTCGGCAACATATTTTTTGTCATTTTCCTCCACAATTACCCCACCATGATAGATTTTGAGTAAAAAAAAAAAATTATTGTCCCTTTCACCGACTACAGACACTAGAGACACACTCTAATAGAACCAAGAACCTTTTTGTCTTGAAAAAAGAGGGATATGAAATCAACAAAGCCAAACAAACAATCACATGCCGTGAACCACAAATGGTAATTCATTGATACAAATTCAATTCAACTTTGAGCCACATTAATCAAATCTCACTAATGAACATGCATTAAAACATCATAAAATTGTTTACACCCAGACAAAAATAGTCATAAACACTGCACAAACCTAACAAATATTCTTTATCAAAATGCTATATCCTTTTACATATAAGAAGCACTTCCGGGTTCCACTGTTCATGCTAGATTGTGGTGGTGTTGTAGAGAGACAAAACTTACTATTCAAAAGTTCACTAATGCTACCTCCTACGGACTTGGGTAGAAGCAGTTGCCTAGTCAATCGTTGCTGAACAGTGTAATTCTATCTGAATATTTTGTACCTCCTTCTTAACTGCTTGTACAACTTTACAACAAATGTATGATATTCCAGTAATATTCATGTGGTCCTATACATAATAATTATGTATCTATTATGAAGTTGTACAAGTAGTTTACATGGAGTAACAAACTGTTCAAAATGAGTTTCATTGTTCAAAAATGGTTGTAATTGTTCTTGCTCCAAATCCACCTCGTACATGCATTCTGTCATTCGATCTCCTCTTCACACCATAGATGAAGTTCCTGATTTAGATTAATTGGTATCTTTTGGATGCATTTTAAGATGAAATTTGTATCCGAAATTTTGGGGCAGGTTCTATAAGGTTATTTTTCCTTCAATCGCAGTTGATACTACTCCAGCTAAAACTCTTTTTTTTTTCAAAACGATTTTAATGAAAGCTAGAATGTGAGCATCCTTCTTTCTCCTCTGTCCACTGGCAGTTTTTATGTGACTGGTTGTTCAGTCAAAATGGACTAGATTGGCTAGGCACTTATAGATGACATTTCACGTACAACCATTAAATTGGATGTTTTTTTTTAAATTTTTAATTTAATCAAAACCATGTGGAGCTGTAATGTATGTTTCCAAACTATAAGGAGTTAAATTGAACATTTGGTAAATCACAAGGAATTTTTTTGGTATTTTACCCATTTCCTTATAGGAGCCCTTTTCGTAGCATAATCCCTCGATTGGTGAAATTGGTAAATGTCATGGATTTACAAACCAATATGTCACGCTCATTCTTGGAACGACAGCACAATGAGCAACGCTTATCTGTGAAATTGCACTTATATGGTTCTGAAAAAGTAAGATAAACATAAGGAAGCCAAATAAAAAGGTCTCTCCAACTGGTGGACAAAACTGAGGTTCTTCCAGCATCTTTTGTACAGAAGAATGACAGGATATGAAGAAGAATGTCATCGGGAAAGGCACTTAATCCCTCATCTGGCATTTTTCTTTTAAAAGCCCTTTTGGGTTCTGAGGATGATCGTAATGATAATCAGTCATGGTTAACCTAAGAACATAATTTGCATTCCACATGTAGAGATTTCCTGGAGAGATGATCCGTCAGTATAAATCTATTAAAGCACGACTACCACGATTTTGGACAAGACAAAAAAGTACAGTAGATATCAACAAGTCAATTTCCACCAAAATCTTTCATCTACAGGCACCATATGGATAACACCAATATATCTAACCGTAGCCCAATTTTGTAGCAGAATCGTTTCATACTTCAAGCCCAATGTTCATGAATATAAGGTATTCCCAATGTTGAACATGTATCAATGTTTTTTCACCTTACAAGTGAATGTTATTAGGAATCCATAAAAGCCATGGGCGAAAATTCATGTATCAATGTTTGCTCCTGAACACTATGAATTGAAAATTCCAATTCTGCAATTAAAGGATCAGCTGTTCAATCCACCCCAATAGCCTCAACAACGACATCACATATATGATTAGAATTTTGAACACAAAAATGACAAGAACAAAATATGTTTTTCCTGCTTGTATTTTATTAAAAGGAGCTGAAATAAAATAAATTTAGAACTGACAATTAATTTCGTTAAAGCAAGATTAAATGAGTGAAACTTGATATTCTTTTACTGGGAGGTTTTCATTACATCAGATAGGCATTTATTAAAATGTATTCGAATTCAGATCATTTGAATACAATCTAGCAATCTGCAGAGCATTTACTAAATGACAATATTCTTTTGCAACCTTTTGATGAAAACTTAAAAGGATTCTTAACTCTGCAAAGAGTCATCTTCTTCAAAGAAATCCCATTCTCCAAGAAATACTCTACTACCTTCATGCTCCATCCCATTGAAGTTTCTGATTTCAATCTCCCTCAGATGTTGAATGAAGCATGTTGGAATTGTTGAAATTCAAAGCCAACAATTGTTGACTTTGAATTTTTGGCATAATTTCCAAATCCCACATCGGTGGGATTAGTTGTAGGTGCAAACTCTCAAGCCTTCCCAATAGGTACACCAACAAAGAATTTGAAAAAGAATTATTTTGTAATTCTTTCTTCTCCTAAATTATAAAAGCGCTGCTTAGGCGGTGCTCGAAAATTAGGCAAAATTGGTCGAACTTCGTTATCAATTTTTCAGGTGCGTTCTTTCCTTATCTCTTTTATTTATTCCGCATTTATTTGGTAGTTTCTTTTCAATTGTAGTACAGTATTCAATATATTTGTTGGGTTTATTTGTAGTGTTTTATATGACTCATTTGGGTGTATTTTTATTCATGTGTACGTATTATTTATGTATACATGGGTTTAGTTGTGATAATACACCGTGCACGAAAATTCTGTTATAGGAGATTGGGTTTTAAGTGGGACCGCTTATGACCCCTCCAGCCTTTCCTGAAAATTTATTTGAAATGGTAATTCTATCTAAAGAGATTGTTTTAACGATCTTTCCTAGAAATTATTGAATTGATTTAAATCACTAGTTGAATTTTTTGATTGAGAAATGACCCGATTTCCCCAACAGGAATAGCCTCAGGCAAAATGTACTGAAAAATAGTATTTATTTGAACCGATTTTCCTAACAAGTGATATCAGAGCAGAAGGTTCGTCCTTTGGCCTGTTTGTAATTTTTTTTATATTGAATACTATTATTTGAGTCTGTAATGACATCAAATGATTTCACGTGAAGAATTATATCTGAGTCATCGGCTTCCTCGTCTACATGGTCTAGAACTCGAATATCAAGTTCGAAACTGGCGGTGGAGATATTTGACGGTACTGGCCATTTCGACATGTGGTAAGGCGAGATCATAGACTCACTTTTCCAACAAGGTCTTGATATTGCCATTGAAGAAAAGAAACCAGATGACATAGAAGAGAAGGAGTGGAGTACCATAAATCGGTTGGCATACGGAATAATTCGATCGTATTTGTCCAGAGAGCAAAAATATGCTTTTAAAAACGAGACTTCT